TGAGATCAAGATATATATATATATATACTCAATTATTTCGAGTCAAAACAAGCCGAACATAAACGAACAAAACTCGTGTTTGTTCGTGTTCGGCTCATTCACTTAGCGAACGAATCGAACACCAGCTTCTTAACAAGCAGATCACGAATTGTTCACGAACAACGAGTCGTTTCACATCCCTAATCGTAATAGTACAGTCGGGCTATGCTAGCTCTAATGGAAACAGAGAAGACTTCGGCTTCGTTTGAGAAAGACTATGAATCTTCTTTGCAATAAAGCGTACGCATCATAATGAAGGAGTATTTTTTGAACTTATTTTGAAATTCTTTCAGAAGAATAATAATTTTTTTGTTGTTTTAAATCATAGGTGACCTTCCCCATTTCGTCAACATGATTTTAAAATGAACTTCATCGTACTGCGAAACTCCTTCGAAAGAAGCCTTCGATTCTATCTGTGACACAACTAAGATGTTGGAGCGAGCACAACCTAAAAGCAAGCATGCTCTGTTTGCGAAAATTCGTGCATTGTAGTGCATTTCGTGGGTTTCATCGGAGGTTAAGCAAAGAGTATTGTCGCCAGAGAGGACGGTAGCGGTAGTTTCTAGTAGAACAGTTGAATTCCTTATGCATGAGAATTACTTTCCTTTCGGTCTTATATGGGCCGGTCGGCTAGTTGCGTGGCATTAGGTCATCCCGCGGGTCCCATGATGCCACATAATCTCTTATATCAGCTATAAAATCTCTTTGTGTGATTCGTGCTAGCGTATACTCGATGCACCCCAATTTTTACATATCTAACACATTCTTGCATATTTATTTATACTCATATCACTCAAATCCTTAACATTACATCAAAATAACATTATTATTATCTTTTTAAAATTGGAATACACATTTTTAATGCCTAGATTTTTGACACCATGGTGTTAAAATGTAAATATAATACTTTTTAGTGTTAGATTTATAAATATATAAGAATTATATGGCATGTATATAAATTTCCCTAAAATTTTTTTTTTCCCTTTTCCCAAACAAAAGAACAATTTTAGAAATAAATTCACACAAGTGGCTTTATAATAATTCCTAAATTATTTTTTATTTTAGCAAAATATTTACTAACAATTGAATTTTTTCATCTTTCTTGATACTCACTCCATTTTTTATTTTAGTCGAAATAACATTCTTAGCGATCGTCCTCTCTAAGAAGAAATAAAAATAGCTACAAAGATATTTATATAAAATAATTTCTCTAATATAAACCAATAAGTGCAATTCGATGTAAATTAGACTATATACGACCCTAGAAAATATATAAGAAAGTTACTATAGAAAGACCTTCGAAATCCAACCAAAATGTAAAATTAAATTTATTTTGTTTTGAGTTCAAAGATATTTCCCGCGACGATGTATCCTCCTATTCAAATACATCATTAGAAATACATAGTAAAACTCATGTTAGAATGTGTTGCATTTGCTAAAAAATAGTTTTGAAATATAAGCAACCAAAAATATTTTCGATGGTCTCAGTAAAGGGAGTTCTTCTAGTCACCAGGGCACAACTATACCACCAGGTAGAGGGTGAATCATCATAATCTGGTGGGAAAACATCGCTGAGCTATGAGGGACCACAGTACATGCCTACAAAAAGTTTGATAAAGTAAACGTTTGTGTTCAAAAGTGTTCAATCAACAAGTAAGTCGAGGAAAAACCTATACAAATAGTTATATCCTAGTTGGGGCTTTATAGACTCATCCTTCCAGACTATTGTGATCCCAGATATACTAAGCTGTGAAGGTAATTAACCAATCCCGACTATGGATTACTTCTCGAGCAACCCAACTGATGTGTTGCATCAACCAAAGCAATCTAGTAGATTCAAAGTCAATGAAAAGAAATGTCTAAGTTCAAAAGACTCTATCTAGAAAAAAGATGGAATATGAATTATACTTTCCAAGGGTACGAGTATTAAATTTATATAGAAAGCAAGATAAATGGGTAGCCAGCTACAAAGCTAAGTTGTGCCACAAAGGACTTACAATCCCATATGGATCGAGAGAGCCTCAAACGCCCTTTATTGCGCTAGACAATCACCTAATCGTATGACACAACTATTGGGCCTGTCAAAAAGGAAAGCACGAATACTTTCCTCGGGTTATGCAATATATACACAATTATCTAAAATATCCAAATCATGGAGGCCCTATTAATATGCATGAAGTATATATTGATTCATTTTATATTGTTTAAAACCAACACGAATGCCATGCAGAAAAGTAAAGATAGAAAATAAAATTCTGATTTTAAAATCTTAGAATTTTAATCCTATTTTTTATTAAGATAAATACTTTAAGAATAGCTTTTATAAAAATATCTTATCCTAAAGAGCCTAGTTCTAACCTCATCTAAACAAACCATATGCATGAGAAAGAATGAGCACATGCAAAATGCAATAAAAAACACTCAATATAAAAGAATATGAGATCAAGTGTGGCTGGGCTGACTAATATCCTCAAAAAGAAAAAAGGACGATCAGACTCCACATATACATACTCAATTCTAGAACTATATAATAAATATACAAATCTTGAATTGATATCAGGCATAAGCAAATAACTCTTTGTCCTCTCAACACAGTCCATGCTCTAAGTTCCGAGGCTCATACTTGTTCCTTATTTCCAGTAAAGACTTTTCTAAGGGACTCTAAAAGTACATAAATAAAATGTAAAAAAGACTCGACTTGCAAAACAAAATTAGTACATTCTATCTCATACAACATATCAAAAGTTGTATGTGGTAGGAGTAGAGCTAAGCAGTACCTAAAAAAAGTCGTATAAGAAGGATCTTAACGAAAGATCTTAATTTGAATAAGTTCAGGCCATACTTGAACATTTGTTGTGGATTCCCTGCTTCGGGCCAATCCAGGCGATGAAAGGCTTCACGTTTTTTACTTCCAGCATTTCCTTTTGGAAGCGAGGGTTGTAGGCCCGCAAGATTTTATTCTCCCTGCCTGATCAGGAGCATGGTTTCAATGTCTTTCCTAAGGTTTTAGATTGGTGAAGTGCGCAAGAGGAGTCTTCTAACTCATAGAAGAACGAAATGATTCCATCTGGAAGGTCGTTGAACCACCGATGAGCAGCCTCCTTCAACGTGGTCAAGACAAGCCGACATAAAACCTCGACTTATGATTCAAAAGAAGCTACGTGATCAGTCAGGTCGCTCTTCCCCCTATAGGGATCCGAGTGGGGATTCCTCAGTTTCGCCAGGGATGTAAATTCCAGAATCCGGCGGGAGAAATCATTGCCTGTAGTCACCCGAGTTGCTGCTCCTACTCGATCTACCCATTGTCTAACTATCAATGTAGACATCGCAGTGCCTGCGAGCTGGGAGTCCCTGTGTCTTTTTATTGATCTTTCGACAACCTGATTGTTTGGATGCAAGCGGATTCTCGTGAGGAACTCATAGTGAGGGAGTTCTCTGAGACTCTCCCTCCAAGGGTGGCGGTTGATCATTCCTCTGGGTCGGCATCGCCCGGAGGGTTTTAAACTAGTCCATCATTTGCGTGTGAAATGCATGAACCTCTTTCTAGATGTCTCGCCACATCATTTCTCTATTGAATTCCAGGGAAGCTGTGTTTCTTAGCAAAGTACTTTTTTCGTAATTTTCCCCTCTTCTCGTCTAAAGCATGTCCATGCTCACAACAGCTTTTAAAATGTTGGATCATAAATTGTCTTTAAGATAAAATACGCCTCGAGAGTTGGAGCTGGGAGAAGTAGAGTAAGAGAAAGGGTAGAACCGATAAGGAATTCTAAGTAGAGGTGTCGGGGGGAAAGTCCTTTTATTCATCTTTGAACCTCCTATTTATATAAGGCCTTTTAGTTCAATTGCAGAAAAAAGAGAACGCTTATGGAAACCGTCTTTAATGCAGTTAATGCACTAATTTAATACAAGATTCGTGTTGACATTTAAGCGTAATACAACGACTGTTAACATATCAATGCATTTTATTTTGGTTGACTAGGGCGACCGGCTGCATGACAATCGCCCTTGCAGAGATAAAGCTGGTTGACAACTAGTTGTGATTAGACGCTCTTGAAAAATATTTGGGTTGCGGGGACCATAAACGCGGTCTGTTGTTTGAAGCTCTTGACGGCGTGGGTAGGGCTGTAAAAAAAGCTCATTGTTCGCGAGCATGTCGTGTTCGGCTCGTTCGTTAAGTAAACAACACGAACAAGTTTTAAAAGCTCAAATTATAAACGAGCTGAACATGAACATCTCTTTGTTCGCTCGTGTTCGGCTCGTTTTAGCTCGAAATAAAAAAAATATATAATTATTTATATAAAAATATATTACACATATTATTTATATAATAATATATTATATATATATATTTATATCTAGGTTAAATTGTAATTGCTCTTGTGGCAATTTAGTTATGTATCTTGTTTTGCATACATTTGATTCAGGTTTGAATCCAACACTTTACATTTATTTTTTCAGTTTTTTTCAGTTTAATTTTAACGAGCCAATTTCGAGTAGAACACGAACAAGAATATTTAAATCGAGCCGAACACAAAAACACTGTTCACGAGCCATTTTCGAACACGAATAATTTCGAACTAGCCGAACACGAGCAAAGCCTGAGCTCGCTCAAGCTCAGCTCGTTTACAGCCCTAGGTGTGGGTTTGCCGATCCGATAGAGTTGTCGGTCATTGAACTACTATTCAGACCATGCTCTTTTGGCTTGTTGCTTCAATTGTCTGGTGGTTGTCTTTTTCCTTCCGATTGCTTTTGAGATTCGCGCTAGTAATTTTGTCGTATACAATACCTACATAAACTTACTATATTATTTTTATTCGAGTGAAAATTTTATAAATTGGCTTAATTTCAATGGTGTTCAAAATTCTCTCTTCAACTTGAAATACATTACGAAAAATAGATTCACACATGCGTACCCTGGACCATCAATCATATATTAAGCATGTTTCTTATGTCAAGCTTTAAAAAGTTGAGCTAAACCTATTTTGCCACTATCTACTAATTTTAGAATTGAAATTATTTTTTTTTTCCTTTTTTTTAATATAATTTATTATATATATATATATATAATGAATTGCAGGACGGATATCATTTTGCCACGTCATCACCGCCATTCGTCAAATCGTGAGGCCAACAGGCCCCACGTTCCCCCACTTCGCCCACTTCTGCACAAGGACGATAAGACCCCACGCCCAACCTCACAAATCGGGCCCACAGCCCACCTAAACACATGACAGGCAGACTCGGGCCATCCCTTTTGGTCCACCTCCCTCATCGGGACCACCGACCCAACCAAAAAACCTATAAATATTTCGAAGTGAAAATGCCATTTAAATGGCAAATTTCATAAACAACATTAACAAAATTTACATCAATTTTAAATTACATTTTGATCCTCAAAAAATAAACGAAGATTTTTCCAGAACAAAAACCAAATATACGGTTAGCCATTCCAAGAATACATAAAGTTCTAAATTAGACCACCTCCCTGATGTAATTTTACAAGATAATTAGTACTTTTCAGTAAAAATGCCACCCAAAAAAAAAAAATTAAATAAATAAAATCACTGATTATCTGGTACTTTTTCAGACGCGGGTTCCCTACTTCCTTCTTCTTCTTCCCCACCTCCTTCCTGCTCCTCCTCCGCCGCCTCCCTCATCAACTGCAACTCCTGCTTCCCCTCTCCCTTTGTCGGCGAACCCCCTTGTCCATCGCTGACTACCACACTCCCCGCCGGAAAACCCCACATCTGACTCGACGGTACCATCCACACACCCCCCGGCGCAATCATCGCTGCACCGCCGCCGGCAATCGCCCACATCGGCGTTATCGGCGCCAACCCCGCCGGAATCGACATCGCCCCTCCGGATGAGATAAACGCTCTGTCGGACCCTCTCATCGGCTGCAGTTTTCTCCTCTTCTTCCCAGTTTCATCCTCCGAGATGGCGGCAGCGGGTGCCTCCGTGGGGATCTTTAGGGTTCCATTGACGTTGGTGGCGATCGCGGGGATGGTTCCGGTGCCCGTCGCGGCGAAGATGGCGTGCTCTGCTTGCTGGAGAAGCCAACGGATGGTTTCACCGTCGGATTTATGGCCGAGCTCGCGTGTTAGCTGAAAGATCCGCGCCGCGCAGGCGGCCGGCATGCGGATTCTTCTTCCTCTTCCTTCAACCTTCGTGTGGCGATCCTTGGTGCGTTTCGGCGGGATCTGGATGATCGGAAGCGGGGTTCCCATGGGGTCCGACGGCTCCGGCTTCGGAATTATTTGGCGGTTTCCGGCGATCGAGGTATGGTTGTCGTCTTCCATCTCCTTCTCTTGAGCGCCCATGTCTAATCTACTGAGTAAAAGACCTCACGCCTTTTTCAGTAAGCAAAAAGGGCTAATCCAGTGCAGGAACTGAAACCCTAGCGATCTGACCTTGATTTATACTGTGTTCGAAGTTCATGGCAGGGGAGTTGGGCCCGTGTATCTGGATTGGGCCATGCAATCTCAAATGGGCCCACATGTTTATAGGTCTCATAATTGAGGTTCTACCGTGGTCAGCCTGGGGAGGAGGTTAACCTTTTTTAAGAGAATCCAAACTTTTACTTGGTTTTTTATTATATTTTGAATTAGGCAAATTTGTTTGAATATATGTATATATATATATATATATATATACCGCTTAATTCTCATGTATTTACTCCTATCATCTAAATATCATTTTTAACATACATACCACCTTACCTATGCATAAAAAGGGGGTATTTCACCCACAGTAAATTGAATTAATTATTTTATTCATGAACAATATGGTTAATTCATAAATTATTCTAAATTGGTTTAAATTGAGAAGGAAGAGAACGTAATAGTTAATGAAAGGAAGGGCCTTTCACTTTGGAGGCAGTGGTTCGAAGACTTCTCTTCTTTCATCTGTGGTCCAGCAAGCAACGCCCTCCTCCATGTGGGCGGCCAATGGCGAGAAAAACGATGAGATAGAGGAGCTAGGTTGTGTAGGAGGAATTCATTAAGAATGGGACAAGAAATATATATATATATGTGTGTGTATTTATATTTCTAACGCTTGAGCTTTGATATATTTATATTAAACATTCCAGACAAAAAAATGTGTCACAGTTGATCCAAAGGGGATATAATAGTCCAGAAGAGAAGAGTAATTCGAAGGTGGGCCCACTGCTAGATTATGAGCCTACCTATCTGATCGAATGAAGTTGACCGAGCCAAGCCAACAAGCTCAAAATTGAACGAGCCACTAGATAGACAAAAAGATGATCGAACGACCCTAGCCCAAAATAATTAGCCAGTTTCTAGATGAAAGATCATCCGAGCCAGCCACTAATGGAAAGACAACCCAATATAATAACCAACCCTATTGCGGAACCAACTTAAAGGAAGATCTGGCTCAATAATATCTCCGACCATTTAAGGGATGCTTCAGAAGTTCATCATCAAAGGCTAAGGATTGACAGTCAGGTCGTATCACTCGGCCTACCCATACCGACCAAGCTGAATCGATTGAGCTGACCTTGTCAACCCATACCGACCCAGCTGATCCAGCCGACTCGAAACTCACTAAGTTCAACCGACCAAGTCAGAAATTAGCTTGATGACAATTTTACACATGTAAAATACAAGATATATGTACAAAAATGTGATATTATTATTATGTACATTCTCATTTATAAAGAGGAGAATCATTTTATGAATAAAGCATGAGTGATCACAATAGATTGCTATAGATTATTGTTTATCCTCTCTCTCTCTCTCCTCCCCCCCTTTCCACATACGACAGTTCCTGAGAAAGAATGTCCACCACCTCTTCCATCCACTCCACTTTCTCCGCACCAATCACAACTCATGCAACTCCTCATCTCGCTGGATCGGTGTCGACTAAGCAAAGGAATTATCGATTTAATCAAGAGGATAAGCAAGCGACCCATAGGACGTCACGAGCCAGCAAATTGCTTCCCAATCCTTCAAGGGGGATGTCAGGGAGATCAACTCCACTATCCTCACTCGAGAGTCATCCATCCTCGCCTGACGTCTGTCTCGCTACCACTGGCACATCAGTCGAATCTCGTTGATGCCAACCAGGGCTGAATCTTCACGTATGTCTCTCAAAATCTAGTCATCTGCACTAATAGACAATGTAACACAATAGGACTTCTGAAAGAATTTTTTTTTTTTTAACACATATGACCGAGGCTCCTCATACCCAATAGCCGTTCTAACTCAAACTTCGTAATTGACACTGCACCCTCACTATGCAACGGGAGAGCATGATCATCCTCTTGCGGTGTTTGCTTGATTAGCGGATCTTGTACCGCAACGGAAGGCCAGGGGTCAGATCGATGGTCCTATCGGTCGGCTGAACACTCCTTCACTTGTTGTTGAGGAATGAATCAGATGATATCACCTTATCTGATAATGAGAGTGCAACCGCTTTTGTCTTCTTAACGATGAATTTCTTCTTCCTTTCTCCTCCCAAGCAATCTCGTCTTTTCATTTTTTCGAAGGCAAAATATATTAGATTTTTGTTAGGAATATCACCCAAGGGGTTCGATACGTTCTCCATCACAATAATTGGATGTTGATCGATTCAAAATAAGAAATGGAAGGAGTCTCATCGCTCCTTATTCACAAGAATCAAAGAGACGAGAATTAAGAAAGTTTTATCATTGAATCATTAATTAATAATAAAAATGATCTATTATTGTAATAAATTCTCTTATTTTTATCGCAACGTCTCTTTCAAAAAGTATGAGAATCGAAGAGCTAAAATATGTACATAAAAAACGTGTCAGTACTCATCCTGAGGAGATCTAACGGTCTAGGAGGGAAGAGAACGATGAAGGTCGGCCCACTATTAAATCACTAAGCTTATTTTTTCAACGAAGTTGTTTGAGTCAAACCAACAAAGCCACAACCGACCAAGCCGCCAGGTAAACAAAATGACGACCAGAAGACCAAATTCTAAACCAATTGGTCAAATGTGAGAGGAAAGAACATCTGAGCCAGCCACTAATGGAAAGAAGACCCAATAAAATAAACAACTCTCATGTGAAACCAATTCAAACAAAGATTTGATTATACAGTATCTTTGACCATTTGAGGATCAACCTAGAAGTTCCTCGTTAGTTAGTAATAATTGAAAGTCAAGCCTTATCAACTGGTCGACCTTTATCAACCGAACTGACCTACCGTCCCATACCAACCCGATTTAGTCGATTGAACGAATCCTATCAATCCGAAGATGACAAAAGTCAGCTGGCCAAGTCAGAAAATAACTGAATGACATGCTTACAAATATTAGAAATATCTCAATACGGACCTTTTAAAACAAGGGTAAAAATGTAATATCATTGTTATATATTATCTCCTTTATAAATAAGAAAAAAATTTCATGAATAAAGCGTGTTTGATCATGAACTATTACTGTTCATTCTCTCTTTTTTGTCTATCTTTTTCTTCTTATTTACGCTCTATTTCTTTAAAGCAAGTGCAACAATGTAATATCATTATTATATATTATCTCCTCCATAAATAAGAGAATGATTTCATGAATAGAACATGATTGATCAAGAACTATTTCAGTTCATTCTCTCTTTTTTTGTCCCAATTGTTTTCACTTTATTTAAGCTCTAGTCCTTTTTCGTGATTCATGAAAAAATCAAGATTCAACACTTTCAAATCACAAAACATACATAGAAATATATATATTTTTTTAATATAAAAAATAATATTTATACGACATTTATATGATATTAAAATTTTAAATATTATACTTATAAAAATTTAGATGTCAATTATATAAATTTTGAAGTGTTGTTTATTATGTACTCAAATCTTTATTAAGAAAATTTACTTTATGAATAATTTACTTTGTTTCGGGCCTAGTGCTCATTTTTTGAATTTGTCTCGATCATATATGTTGAGTCCAATTTTGACTTTTAAATCACCCATAAAGAATAGAATGTTGAGAACTAGGAGTGGAAAGAGAGAGAGAGAAGGAAGGGGGAGAGGGAGAGAGAGAGAGAGAGAGAGAGATGGGGGAGAGAATCTGCACCGGGACATGACCTTTAAGGACAAAGCCGGGCATTCTCGGGCTCCTTTGCTTCTTTTATTTCTAAGAATGAGGGGGCTATAGAGAGAAGGGCAGAAGCTCTCCCTACTTGAGGGGTCAAGAGATAAGGGTCCAAACACCCCCACAAACAATATGAGGGCAAAATATAAAATCACAAAGTTACCCCTGCTTAAAAAGGGTTGTACTGGACATTATGATTTTTTGTTCATCAAAGCCTATTGTTCAAGAGCACACTGGTCGGCCTTGATCGGCTAGTCGACTGACTCCGGGTGGTCGGCTAAACAAATGCCTTTGGGTTGCTAGCTAGTCGGTCAGTCGACTTGTCGTTCACTAGATAGTTGTGGTCGATCAGTCAATCGGTCGGTTGTCTCCTACGGGGCAGTTCTTGGTCGGGTCGGTCGTCCTCTAGAGGGTATTGTCGGTCAGTTGCCTTGAAGTGGTCCATAATTTATGTCATATAATATAGGAAATCGTATGAGTTTCATGATTGATGAGCTTTTGATAAGGGTGTTCTCATATATAAAATGAAAAAAATAAAAAAGAAGAAAAGAAGACTCATGTACATACCACACAATTCTTATGCATTTACATATTCAACATTTTTAATGCATCAAAAGATATATATATTTTTGAAAAAATTAGTAATGGACGGGGCACACTATGGATATATTCAGCTTAATTCGAATATCGGGTCAAAGCAATTTTCCCCGCAATTATTAGAACGAAATTCTCACCACTACCTTTTTATTTATTTATTTATTTATTTATTTATCACTGTATTCGCGGGAATCCGATTTGATGTGCTGTTTCGGTGAGCAGGCGGCTTTGTCGATCCATGCGGCCCCACAAGCCGGGCAAATGGTCCCCGCTCCTCGCTTTTCAACATCTGGCTGTGACATACGAACCGGGCCCCACAGGCCTCTTCCGTCTTTGCTGGGCCGGTTCAGCCATCCCGGTCGATTGCTTGGCTGGGGGCCCGCTGGCCTGCATCTCCGCCGGCTGGACCTCCACACTGCCGGGCCCACTTTTTTTGCTACCGTCCCATCAGGTTCGTGGAAATGGAGCCCACAGACCCACCCCGCAAGCCCGGTCTAAAAGCTTGGTGGATACGGATTCACTGAATAATGGGGCCCAGAAATGTGGGCCCGCACTAGTTAGAATTCACGGCGAAGAAGCATCCCCCGTAGCATTCTATAATAGGTGGGTTTTTTGACCCCGTTAGAGCAATGGTGTAGTTTCGTGGCGGAGGAAATAATCAAATAAAGGTTAGGGAAGGAGAGTTTGTTCAAATTTTGTTCATTTCTATTTATCGAATATGGGTTATTAATTTTGTTTTTATTTATTTATTTATTATTAAATTTGATATCAACTGCTATTTAAGAATTATTAAAGGACGAAATAAATCAAATTTGAGCTAATTTCTATTTGACTTAATTCACGAACTCGTACTTTTTGAGAGAGACCCTGTGAAAGGAGTGGGAAGAAGTTGAAGAATCTTCCCTCTTCCCATTTTCTTCTTATTTGTAT